ACAACATTGTTAGTATAATTTCAAATAATTTCAACTGAAAGGCAGACGTTAAGCCAAAAAGTAAACTTAAAACAACCTAACATAAATACTAATTCTCACATAAATTGGATTTAATTTTGTCCCAAGTACGTTACTTGAACATTAATTTTTAATTCAATTTGTTAATATGTATTTTAGGATATTGCATCTTCATTTATAAGTGAAATATGTTTGTAATTTCCCTTTATAATAATATATTCTCTCTAATTTTAATATCGGGTGTATCCAGATGAAGGAGAATGATTTTGAAGTATTTCTTCTTTTTCTATTGTCTATAAGATTTGGCATGATCTGTTTTTTGAAATTATCTTTTATTTTTATTTATAAATATTAGTTGTCTAATTTTTGAGACTTTGGAAAAAAAAATAAGTTAACTGATGTCTCCATACTGAATCTCAGAGTCAAAGCACTCTATGATAGACATACTCTTATCTGACAATGTGAATGTTATTTTTGCATTATTATTATTGCTCAATAAAAAAATAAAGTACTATGATGATTTAAAAAATAAAGTACTTCTAACAGTTTTAAAAATAAAAATAAAAACAACCTAACATACAAAGTATTAAAGTATGTAGGGAAGTACATAGCCATTCAAATACCACACTTGGTTAGTATCATGAGTTTTAATTTGGACTTTTAATGTGTGTATATACTAGTAAGCCAACAAACTTTATTTTCTTAAACTACAAATACAGATCTATAACTTCTGAAACTAGATCACATGCATCAGTGTAGTTTATCCCAAGCATAGGAAATTGTCCATTAATGGTGCATTTTCATCTAACACTTAGGAGACCTACTCCACCACTGATATCTGTCATCTAAAATGGGTGGCTTCCTATATTTACAAAGATAACTAAATGTAGAATACACCCTAAAACTGATAAAAACTTCAAAAATTAATTAATGCACAGGTAGCTGGTATTAGTATCTCTGACAGAAGGTAATAAGGCTGGTTCTGGAAGTTGAATATAAAACTAGAAACAACTGTCACCACACAAAGTATATACATTGCAGATACATGTGGAAAATAAAAAATAACAGAACCAAACAAGAATAAAAAGTTTAATTGAAATGTGTGGTATATATTTGGGAAAGAAAATAGAGAAAAATTTCAAATGATGCTTGTCTATTAATTAATGGGTAAAAAGTAGAAAATCCACTGTGGTTACATTGGATTAAGTCTTGCTCTAATTTGTAGCATTAAAATTATTTCATGTATGGACATCAATTGAAAATACCTAAAATGTAGTTAACACTAAAGCTAAGGTATTACAACTATGCAAGCACACAAATAGTAAGACTTCAAAAATATTCATATAGTCACTCTATTACCAGGGGTTCTTGTTTTTTTTTAATTTCAGAATATTACAGGGCTAAAAACATTTTGGTTACATGAAATACCTTTGTACAGTTTGAGTGAAAGTCATAAGTGTACCCATCACCCGGATAGTGTGCATTTTACCCATTAAGTGTGAATTTACTCCTCCCGTCTCCCCTTCCCACCTGCTTCTTTCCATTGAGTTTTACTACCAAATGTGTATATAGGCATTGATCAATTACTTTCAATTTAATAGTGGGCACATGTAGTTTTTGTTTTTCCATTCTTGTGATACTCAGAAGAATGAACTACAGTTCCATCAAGATTGTTATAAAGACTATTAGTTCATTTTTTACGGGTGAATAGTACTGCATGCCACTCGTGTATTGACATGCGTGTGGGTTGATTCCACATCTTTGCAATTGTGAATTTTGCTGCAGTAAACATTCAAGTGCACATCTTTTTGATGACTCTTTTTTCCTTTGTGTAAATACCCAGTAGTAGGATTGCTGGATTAAATGGTACATCTACATTTAGTTCTGTGAAATATCTCCATACTACTTTCCGTAGAGGTTGTACTAGTCTGTAATCTCATCAACAGTATATGTTCTATCTGTGTAAGTGTTCCTATCTCTCTGCATCCAAGCCAGCATCAGTTATTTTAGGAGTATTTGATGAAAGCCATTCTCACTGGAGTTGGGTAACACCTCATTGTGGTTTTGATTTGCATTTCCCTGATGATTAGAGACATTAATCATTTTTTCACATATTTATTGGCTATTAGTCTATCATATTTTGAAAACTTCTATTCATGTCTTTTGCTGACTTTTTATGGGGTGGTTTGATTTTTTTCTTGCTGATTTTCTTGAGGTCTTTATAGATTCTGATTTTATAGAGCTTTTGTCAGATGTATGACATGCAAGTATTGTCCCCCATTCTGTAGATGGTCTGTTTACTCTGTTGACTGTTTCCTTCACTGTGCAGAGGTTTTCAATTTGGTCAGGTCCCATTTGTTAATTTTTGTTGTTGCTGGGATTGACTTTGGGGTCAACTTCTTAATTTTTTTCCCAGGCTGATGTCTATAATAGTCTTTCTAATATTTGATTCTAGAATTGTAGTTTAATGCTTTAGGTTTATGTCTGTTATCGTCTATGTGTCGGTTCTTGTGCCAGTACCACGCTGTTTTATTTACTATAGACTTATAGTATAGCTTGATGTATGAAATGATGCCTCTGGATTTGCCCTTTTTGCTTAATGTTGCTTTGGCTAGTCATGCTCATTTCTGATTCCATTTGAAGTGTAGGATTATTTTTTCTAGATCTGCAAAAAAAATGACGCTGGCATTTTAATAGGGATTGCACTGAATCTGTAGATCACTTTGGGTAGCATAGACATTTTAACATTGCTGATTCTGCTGATCCATTAGCATGGTATGTTTTTCCTTTTTTGAAATTTCAGATTAATATGAGGGTACAAATTATTAGGTTACATTGTTTGCATTTTTTAGGTAAACTTCAAGTTATAGTTGAGTCCTTCACCCAGGGGGTTGTGCTACACCATTCCCTTATGCCCATAAGGTGAGAGCTTACCAATCCTCCTCCCATCCTTTCACCTTCCCCCTTGATTTGTGTTTTTTTCTTGTGTGAGTATGTAGTTGTTTATCTATTTATCTTGTTTTAGTATTCAGTACTTTGGATACTTGATTTTCTATTTTTGTGATACTTTACTGAGAAGAATGTTCTTTAACTTCATCTAGAAATACAAAAGATGTAAAGCCACCATCTTTTTTACAGCTGAATAGTATTCCACGGTATACATGTACCACCATCATTTTAGTCCATTCATGTGTTGGTGGGCACTTGGGTTGATTCCATGGTTTAGTGATTGTGAACTGAGCTACTGTGAACACTCTAGTACATAATAGGTTTTTCCATTTGTTTACTTCCTCTGCAATTTCCTTCTTCAGTGTTTTGTAGTTCTCTCCCTAGATGTCTTTTACCTCCTTGGTTAAATATATCCTAGGTATTTTCTTCACTGCTATTGTGAAAGATATTTAGTCTTTCTCAGTTTCATTTTGTTAGTGTATAGAAATATCATTGATATGTGAAGATTGATTTTGTAATCTGAGACGCTGCTGAATTTATCAATTCCCAAACTTCTTGGCATAAACTTTGGGGTTTTCTAGATATAAGATCATATTGTCAGCAAAGAATGATAGTGTGACCTCTTCTGTTACCATCTGGATACCCTCGATTTCCTTCCATTGTCTGATTGCTTTGCCTGGAACTTCTAGCACTATGATGAATAGATATCATAACAGAAAGCAAACTTGTCTAGTTCCAGACCTAAGTGGGAATGCTTTCATCTTTTCCCCATTCAGAAATTTGGCTGTGGGTTTGTCATATATGGCTTTTAAAAGTTTGGGTTATGTTCAATATATATCTATTAAGAGTTCTTATCATAAAAGTGTTCTGACTTTTGTCAAATGCTTTCTCCATATTGAGATGATCATAGGGTCTTTGTTTCTACTTCTGTTTATGATGAACCCCTTCAATGAAGCCCACTTTTTCATGCTGGATTATTTTTTTGATGTGCAGCTGAATTCAGTTTGCTAGAATTTTTATATCTATATTCATAAGAGATATTGGTCTATAGCTTTCTTTTTTAGTTTTTGTCCTATCCTGGCTTTGATATCATCAAGGTAATTTTGGCTTCACAGAATGAGTAGGGGAGGATTTCTTCCTTCTCAAAGTTATGAAGTAATTTCTGTAGTCTCAGTACCGGTTCCTCTTTTTCAGTTTATTTACCAGTGGTCTTGATCTTTAACCTACTTCATAATGGCCTGGAAGGTCTGTTAAAAACACATATTGCTGAGCCCCATATGTAGTTTCTGATTCAGCAGGTTTGGAATGAAACCTTAGAATTGCATTTCTAGCAAGTTCCCAGGTGATGCTGCTGCTGCTGTTGTGGTCAGGGACCATGTATTAAGAACTCTAGTAATAGACTTCCCAATCAATATTGAGAGTTACGTGTTGACTCTCATTGTACCAGTACTTTTAAAGCAAATACAGGGTATTTTGGAGAGATTTTACAAATTACAAATATTTAATAAACTCTTTTAAGTCCTCAGTAGAAATTGTAATGAGCCACCATAATAAAACTCAACAAATTAAAAGTATACCTACTATTACAGTACAAGAGCTCCTACTAGGAGTGGTAGGGTGGTTAGTTAAAAGTTAAGTTGGTGGAACAGAGTATTGGCATTCTGGAGTAACCCTAATAGTTATGGGCATCAGTTGTATTTCACACATATGGAATGCAGAATATTCCATAATCCACTTCATTGTGGCTTAAGAGAATTTCAGTCATAATGACAAAAAATGAATAGGTAATTCTTAGATGTCTATGTGAATCATTCCACTTCCAGTAACATCTTCTTAAAAATATAAAAAATAAGAGAAAAAATTAAGATCTCCAAAGAAAATCCTAAGATTCCTATTACCACCATAAGGTATTGTCCAGTGCTTGCAAGTATGTTTAGATAGCAGTCATAGCATAAGTGTAACTACAAAAAAATTTTTAAAAAGTAAAATAAATACATTAAGCTTTTATTAAGTTAGTATAATTCCTATGACGGTTAGTATATCTCAGTTACAAGTGATGATCCTTTCTGCTTTACGTTTTTGAAATGAACATATGGAAGACATGCAATGCTAAGTTCTTCTTTTGTACATCCTTTAAGACAACACTTTTCTGAATATCCTCTGCGTTTTCTTTGGGGATGATTACCCCAAAACAAATTGTTCAAGGTTTTAATTTTATTTGTACTTTTCTTCTGTGATTTTATACTCTCACGAATACGTGGGTTGACAACATGTGATGAGGAAAATTCTCTTGTCTTATCAAGGGGTGAGTTCACCTTTTTATACTGATACCCAGGCAGTGACTGCATCTCCCAAGTGTTATTTGCCTCTTCATGAGAGACAGAAGTAGACACTGTTGAGAGAAGAGAACAATCCTCATAAAATCTTCTGTTAGTTTAAAATTTAATATTGAAATACTAAAATCAGCTAATTATTAAAAACCAAGTGATCACATTGTAAATAAAGAATAGAAAGTATGGTTATACAAAAGCAATATATTTTTAACTAAAATGGTTATAATTTACTACAAAAAACTTACAAACTTTTGCACATTTTTATAGTAACATTTTTTAAGATTATTATTCACATACCATACAATTTATCATTTGTAAATTATACAATTCAGTGGTTTTTAGTATATATACAAAGTTGTGTAACTATCACCAATATTTAATTCCAGAACATTTCTACTACTCCAAAAAGAAACCCCAACCCCATTAGCAGTTGCTTTCATTTCCTTCTCCTCTAGCTCCTGACTTGTTTCTATGGATTCACCTATTCTGCATATTTTATGTAAATGAAAACATACACTATGTGGTGGCCTTTTGTTTCTTTCACTTCAAATATCGTTTTCAAAGTTCATCCATGTTGTAGTATGTATTAGTACTTCTTTCCTTTTATATCTGAATTATTTTTCATTGTATGGATATTTTTCATTTTGTTTTTTCATGTATCAGCTGATGGACATTTGGGTGATTTCCACTTTCTATCTATTATGAATAGCACTTCTCTGAGTATGCATATACAAGTTTTTGTGTGAACATATATTTTGAATTCTGCGGAGTATATGACTAGGAATTGAACTGCTAAATCATATGGTAATTGTGTTTAACTTTTTGAGGAACTGCCAAACTTTTCCACAGAGGCTGCACCATTTTACAGTCTCACCACTGATACATAAGGATTCTAATTCTAATATCTCCACATTCTCACCAACACTTGGTATTTTTCCATTTTTTGGTAATAGCTATCCTAGTGGAGGTGAAGTGCTAGCTATTGTGATTTTGATATGCATTTACCTAATGATTTATGAAGTTGAACATCTTTTCATGTGCCTATAATATATCCTATTTGAAGAAGTGTCTGTTCAAATCCTTTGCCCATTTTTTAATTGGGCCATTGGTCTTCTTAGGCACATTTCATAACTAAGTGGTAGGTAGAAATCATTTTCTTCTTCATTAAAATATAAAGAAATAGAGAAGTAGTAATATCCTTAAGGGACAATGAACTGATTGTTACTGTTATACTGGTCTTAACTCATACTGCATTATTGGATATTTGAATAATTCCAGAAGGTAATTATGTGTAGGCTTGTTGGACTTCCATCATGGCCCTTGTCCATTTACAATATATTTACCAATAGCCCCCACTACAGAGCCAGCCCTTATGCAGCCATGTGCTGAGCCATGTGACTCCATGTGACTTGATCCTATAGCCACAGTTGAACAAACTGAAGGTTGGCACCTTACCCCCCAAAACCCAATTTATTACAATGGGCAGTAATCCATGCCATATGAAAAAAAAAATGGCCTGATCAGATTTCCTCTCTGAAAATAAAAAGGAAGAAGTAATGAGAAAAAGATGAGTAAGAATCAAAGTTGAAAGGATTCTATGAGGCTTGTTATGACAAGCTAACATCATAAAGGAATACAAAGAGAAAAGATTCACAGAGAGAACAGAGAAGGGTGATTTTTAGAAATGATGTGATTCTTTAGGCTTTCCAATATCTTCCCAGGTCCATTTCTAGATCTTGTTTGTATTTATAATAACTATTCCACCCTGTTATCTAGCGATAATTTAAATGAATCTCTGTCCCTTGAAGGTAGAGTCATATTGGAGCACCCTTCAGTAATTTTATATTCAATTAAAAGTTGGTTCTTAAAATTATCAATAGAATGCTAGATAAATTAATAGAAAGATGAAAATAGACAAAATACAGAAAGAAAAGAAATAAGTACAAATACAGCCAAGTTTTTAAAATAAATGATTATGAATGCTCATACATTTAAAAATCAACATGAAATGGATAAATTCCTAGAAAATATAAGATGCCTTAATTGTCACATAGAGATACAGAAAAATTAAATATACCAATAATATTCAAAGAAATCGTAGGGTAGCCATAGTTCAAAGAAATTAAAAGGGTAGCCATAGTTATCACTTTCAGAAAACCACAGACATAGATAATTTTCAAGGTAGGTTCCACTTATATTTCAAGAAAAATTCTAATCATATACAAGTTGTTTCACAGAAATGAGCAAAAGCTGCCCAATTCATTTCATGAAGCTAGTATATATAATACAATCTATATTCCAAAAATAGATAAAAACCATATGAGATTTTTTTTTTTTTGAGACAGGGTTTTATTATGTCACCCTCAGTAGAGTGCTGTGGCATCACAGCTCACAGCAACCCCTATCTCTTTGGCTTAAGCGATTCTCTTGCCTCAGCCTCCCAAGTAGCTGGGACTACAGGCACCTGTCACAATGCCCAGCTATTTGGGGATTGTAGTTGTCACTGTTGTTTGGCAGGCCTGGGCTGGATTCAAACCCGCCAGCTCTAGTGTATGTGGCTGGCACCCTAGCTGCTGACCTACAGGCACCGAACCCCAATGAGATTTTTAAAAATCCTTATAAACCCATTTCACTTACAAATGTTGATTTGAAAGTTCTAAATAAGCTATAGTTAAGTGGAATCATAAATATATTTTACATTAGGAAAGGATTTATCTTAGAAATCTATGGATAGGTCAAGATCACAAAACCTATCAAAGCAATTTACCCCTGTTAACAGACTCTCATCCTCACACTCAGCTGGCTTTCCTTTTTACTTCATAAGTAAATTGAAGCCACCAGAAGAGAACTTGTATTTGGTCTCTTTGTCATATTTTTACTCATCTCTCAACATTTATACCCATATATTCTGCTGTCCTATTCATTGTCACAGATGAACCATCCATTCTAAAGCCGATTTCTGCACTTACATACTACATCTCTTTTGTACTCCAGGACATGACTACAACAATCCTTCCCTATATCCTTCATTAATTTTTCACTTCTATTACATCATTCATAACAGAAAACATGTAATTTCTTCCCCTTAAAACCAAACAAGCAAGTATACACAGTTCTCTTGTCCCCACTATCCTGCCAGCTACCACCCTATTTATCTGTAGCACAACTCCTCGATAATGTTGTTCTGATAAAGTTGTTTATTACTAATTCAGTCTTCTCTAATTATGTCTTAAACCTACTTTGATCAGGCTTTTGTTCTATTACACCACCAAAACTTCTCTTATTAAGGTCACCAATTACCTTTATATTACCTCTATAAATTCAACAGCCAATATTCATCTTAATTAACTTATCAAAAACACTCCTTCTTTAAACACTTTCTCCTCTTGGTTCCCAAGACACCACACTCTCTTTTCTTCCTACCTGGCTAATTAACCTTTTTCTATCTCCTTTGTAACTTCTTCCTCCCAACTTTTATTCCCCTGACCTTTTAATGCTGGTGTTTCTGAGGGGTCAATATTTGGTACTCTTTTCTATCTATCCTTACTCTGATTCCTCCAGTATTATGGCTCAAAATAATTTATATAGCAATGACTTCTAAATTTCTATCTTCAAACAGGAGTTCTCTTCCCAACTCCAGGTTCATATATCACACTTCCTACTCCACATCTCCACAGACTCACATTTAAAACTCCACCTGAAGTTTTCAAACTCAACATGTCCAAAACTAAACTCTTTGTATTGTTTTTCAACCTGCTTCACCTGAGGTCTTTCCTACCTCAGATTTAATCATTAAAAAAATGTTTGGGAGTCAATCTTAATTTCTGTTTCTTTCTTCATATCTCACATCACATCTGTCCAGATATATCAAGACTATATAACAGTTTTCACTACCTCTACTACTATCGTCCTCATGCTGCTAATATTATTTCTAAGACCCACCCTAACAGGTCTTTTTCTTCTACTGTAGCCACCCTATAGTATATTCTCAATATGGTAGCCAGACTGATTCATTTTAAAATGTCAATTATATCACCCCTCTGCTCAAAAAGTCTATAATGACTCCATGGATCATTCAAAGACGAAATCCTTAAAATGGCCTAGAAGACCCTATTTTATCATGCATACCAGTTACTTCTCTGCTTATCTTCTACCATTTTCCTCTCACTTTCTCTGCTCTAGCCACACTTGGTCTCTTTGCTGTTCCCTGCATGAACCAGGCTGAAGTGTCTTTCTTCTGCTGTTTTCTCTGAGTAAACCCAGATATCCACTTGGCTACTTCCCTTACTATCTCCTTTTTCAAGTCTTGCCTTTTTAAAAATAAGGTCTACTCTGACCACAATATTTATTACTATACCCCACCTTTCAACCCCTTGCACTCCTGACTCCCTTATCCTGTTTAATTTTTTTTAATTTTTCTATAGCTATTATTACCTTCTAACATTTACTTTACATGCTTATCATTATTTAGTTTCCATAAGGCCTGAAATATTTGCCTATTTTGTCCACTATATATCCCAAGGGTCTAAAATAGTGCCTGGCACTTAGTGGGAATCCACTAAGTATATGCTGAATTAAAAATAAAAGAAATAAAAGAAAAAAATCATATGACTATGTAAAATGATGCCTCCCAAAAGGCCTTAATAAAGTTCAGTCCTATTTACACAATTAAAAAAAAAAACCTCTTAGCAAGTTCACTTATGTTGGTAAATATTACATAGCACAAACCTACAAACATTATACCTAATGAAGAAATTTAAATGTATGCCCTTTAAAATTGGAAACAAAACAAGAAATCCTGCTATCACTATTATATAACACTTCTAAAGGACCTACCCAATGTTATATGGAATGAAAAGAAAAAATAAGAACAGTATAAGGCTTATTTGCAAATGATAGAAAAACTTACAGAATCAACATACTATGAAAATAGTTCAGCACAGTAACTGGATAAAGTTTGACTTATAAAAGTCAAGTGCATTTCTATATTTAATAGTCATTAATTATAAAATATAATCCACAGGTATTTACAATAGCTAAAAAAAGTATTAAGCATTAA